GTTTGTTTCCAGCAGACGAAGAGCGCGAGCGTCAGAACAGATGCTGGACCCAAGAATCCTGAGAACACGAGTTCAGGAGACTCCGGGTGCAGCGGAGGATTGTGCGACGAGCTGTGAAATTAAAATAAATCTTACATTTCTGTCGTCTCCAACCGCTTCAGAAACCAGCCGCGGGTAAAGAGGCACTACGGTGCAGAAAAGAGGATCTCGGTCCAACAACTCGTTCTTTGCGATCAGTCGCTCAGGGTCCTAGTTAACGTTTCAAAGCACCTTGTGCCTGCGTGGAAAGCCAATCGTCATTTAAGGTGTTATCCTGCAGACTTCACTTGAACGTTGCGTGCGTCAACACAAACATTCTGCACAGGAAAAGTACAAAGTTCAACTTTTGCTTTAGTCCGAGTACGGTTCATCGTTTGCAGCGCTACAGCTTCAACACGCGTTTAATCCCAAACAATCAAGGTAGCTTTTGGAAACGACTCGTACCCTTACAGCTTACTGAAACGCTTCACTTCTTGTGAAAACTACGTTCGTGTGCGAAGGAGTAAATAAAAACCGTGAAGCGCTTTAGTTGACAAAAATATGCTAAGGTGGTACGGACAGATTTGTCGGTACCCTTAAAGAAATGCAATCTTTGCATTATTCTCATGTTTCAAACAAATTCGTATCGCAGGCGTATCGAGCTTCTCGGTATTTAAAGGGAGGCGGTTCGGTTCTGGTCACAGCACTGACCACGCAGCAGAGAAGGCAACGAGGAGCTCAGAAAGAAGGTTGCACACGATCACGATGTAAAGGTAACGGCTACAAGACAGCAGATGTACATGTTGTTAAAGTGTACAAGAGTCAAAGCACTGCAGCAAACTATCGATGGCATGGACGCAAGAGGAAATGCGACCCCAGGCTGATCGTACTGATGGTGTGGATGGCAGGAAACTCGTCCGAACTATTCAAATTGAAGATTTCTGATTAAACCAGCTCTGTTTTCAATCGTAATGGGCAGAATATATCTATATAGATCTATAGATACAGATAAGTGATGTGTGTTATCATTGTACGTTCTCATACAATGATGACTCTGCATTTAACCCATCACAGGTGAGACGCACCAGGGGAGCAGTTGGGGATTAGGTGCCTTGCTCAGAGACACGTGGGCATGTCGGAGAGTGGAACTGTGACTTTCTGGTCCCAAGTCGGCTGCTGTACCTCTACACCATCTAATTAAATCCTCAAGTGGAGTTCAGGTATATCAGAGTGAGGGAAGAACGGAGCGTGAGACCGACAGACGGATCAGTGCAACTTCTGCAGTGTTGTGGACTCTGTGCCGGTCCGTTGTGGTGAAGAACCGAGCTGCAAGGAGAAGCTCTCCGTTTATTGATCAGTCTACGTTCCTACCCTCACCTGAGGTCATGAACTCCGGGTAGAGACCGAAAGAACCAGATCCTGGATCCAGGCGGTCCCTACAGGGTAGCTGGAGACCGGGTGAGAAGTTCAGCTCTCCAGGAGAGACTTGGAGAAGAACCGCTGATCTTCCACATCCAGAGGAGAACGTTGAGGTGGTTCAGACATCTGGTAACGATGGACCCCAGACGTCTCCGTTTGGAGGTTCCGGGCATGTCCAAGTAGGAGACCCCGAGGAAGACCAAGGACACCCCTGAGACGTCTCTCAGCCGATCTGGGGACGTCTTGGAGTCCTCCCAGAAGAGCTGGAGACGTCTGGACCTCCCTGCTCAAAGCTGCTGCCTCCAGAACAAGAGTCTGTCTTTTGTTGATGATAAAATGAAGGATGCTGTTAAACTTTGTTGGTTGTGACGTGATTATTGTGGAAGGCACCAACAAGTTTCTGTTCACGGGTCGCCAGCATGAACCAGGACATGATGATCATCAGTTTAAATCTTTGTGATCTGAAGGACAACTTGCACATTGTCATCGTTGTTGCTGTAAAGTGCCGCGTGAAGAGCACGAGTGAAACTGATCCGGAGATGGTGAAGAGCAGAACCACGGCACAACAACCAAACTCCCAAACAGCGTGCGAACATAAAGACGGCGTATTAAATTAATTTACACAAACATGTTTTATGCAAATCGTTTTCATTACATACAAAAACCACTACGTTTAAAAAAAAAAAAAAAACGACACGCCGATGATGCACAAACTGAACCGCACAAAAAAAAAATACACGTTCTTTTTTCTTTTCAAAAAAAATATTTACAATTGTCAAAATGTCTTTTGTGTTTTCCGTTGAAGCTTCTCCCTGCTCGTTTACAAAAATAAAAAAATAATAGATATGTGCACGCACAGACACGTGCTCGTGCACGTTTTGCTCACACTGGAACATTCAGACAAACAAATGTCTCTTTGGCTGGTGTGAAGCTGCGGCACCTCGCAGTGTTTGTGTAATTATATACTAAAAATTAGAAAAATACACGCTCACGCAAAAATAACACCGTTAAACAGGCTCCAATGATGGTGACAGATCTACATCTACCAAAAACTTCATGTTCTGCCACAACAGGCCCTTGATTGAATATATGTGTAAAAAAAATCACATTCAGAAAGGTGATGGTTTATTCTTGTAGGAAGGCATCACAATAAATAGATTTGTGTGTGTGTGTGTGTGTGTGTCCCTGGGTCTGCCGTGGTCAACAGCTCCCGCCGCCGTCCGTCAGTCGCTCTTCGAGCTCTGGGTGGCGTCCAGGTTGACCACCTGGAGCTCCGTCAGGTTACTGCTGCTGCCGCTCGACTGCTGGCCAATCACCATCTGCGGCACAAAGCAGCCGGGTCAGGGCGCGGCCCGCGAAGCACAGCCAATCACAACGTCACACGACGGACCGGAGCAGACGTCCTGCTGCTGAACGCAGCAGACGCCGACATTCAGGCCGAGATAACGAGGCGAACACGTTCTACGAGCCAAATGACAGGAACGTTGTGGAAAATGTGAACAGAATTTTACAAACCCTCATTTTATCCACAATAAAACAACTTATCAAACCTTTAAATTGTAATTTAATTAATTTTGTGGCTAATTAGGTTAACTGGCAACTGGTCAGGAGGAGGACTGGGGATGATGGTTCACCAGTCTGATAAAAATCTGAATAAAATTCCTCCATGAGAAGTTTGGACGTCCATCGTGCGCCGTTTATAATCTCAACAGATTAGAAGAATCTGAGCTCAAAGGACGAGGCTGAAGGTGAAATCTGGATGAAACCAGAGCTTTAACATGTCCAGAACAGAACCAGACCCGTCAGGCAAAGAAGAAGCCACATGTGAACCCCGTCCAGAACCGCTGCTCATTTTTAATAAATAATAAACGTCTTTCCATCGTCTCAAGACACTCGAAGCTCTTTACAACAATCTGTGCCTCAGTTCGTACACCTAGATCTATACGGAGACTAATCAGTTGATCACATTCATTCACTGAAGGGACACATCAGAGGCAATGAGGGGTTCAGTGTCTTGCCCAGGGACACTTCAGCATGTGACTGCTGGTGGAATCAAACCCCCATCTCTCCCATTGGAGGACGACTGATCTAACCACTCAACCACAGCTCAGCCCCATATTTAAACGGACTGAGGTGAAGTCCAGACTAAAGAGACGGAGCATCCAGCCTGCTATCAGATCAGTTTAAAGGTTGGCCTCTCAGATGGTATAGGGGTGCATCCCAGGTCTCTTGTAAACGAGTCCTCGTGTCTCAATGGGACTAACCAGTTTAAATGAAGGTTGAATGAATTCTATATCCTGCGGATGTTCCTTTGAAACTCTGCTACAACAATTTCCTGCGGGACCGATAAAGTTCTATCTGATCTTATTGGTGACTACCGTAACTTACACATCTGGAAAGGCTCCATTAACGTGGAAAAGTGTATAAAGGTTTTAGAAACACATCTGCCATTGTTAGCAGCAAATCCAACAAA